CAGACAGACAGACAGACAGACAGACAGACAGACAGACAGACAGACAGACAGATACACACACACACACATATCTGCTCCATCACCCAGATACATTTGCAGAGCTGCTGATGAGGTATGAGGGAAATCAATCTTTATTAAGGCCACGTCTTTGGCTGTCAGACTTCATACACATATACATAATACATGTAAGACAAAGGCAATTTCACCACCACGGAATACATTTCTTTCTCTGTTAGACAGGCATTGAACTGTGTATAAAGAATGTCAGTTTCATTTCCAACAGTTGGCAACTTTAAGGAAGACACAATGCTTTCCCTACAAACTTCACGATTCAAGAGACGTACTTCTGTATCAATGTGTGAGAAGCCTCCGTAGTGACTTCCCACACAGAACGAGCAAGCGGGACAGCCAGAGGAGGATAATTCTGAAATAAGTTTGTGTATTTGCTTTTCCTCAGCATTAGAGGCAGACAAGTCCATCCATCTAACTCATGGAATTTTATAATTATTATCCACAAGTAGGCTTTGGCACTTCCTGACTCAGCATTTTACTTCATTTTATCATTCAATGTGTAAACAATGCAAAGGAAGCAAATGCTCCATAAAGCCCCTTCAGCTGATTACTCCCCTGAACAGAGAACTTAAACCATGAGTCAAAAGATAGAAATACAAAACAAAACAACTGTGTTGGATCCAAAACTGGCAAGTCACTTAAAAGCTTAGGTAATTATGTCCCCCTAAATCACAGAAAGTATTCTTGTCAGAAATGAACAGAGAAAATTATGTTAGACCTATATTTCTCAATTTATCATCCAATTGTGCTAAACCGAGCAGTTTCAGAATCCTTGCAGCTACCATGCCAACCCATCTGAACCACACCAGATGGATTAATAGTAGTGTAGCGTTGATTGTCATTGTACATCATGAATACAATGAAATTGGTTTTAGCCTCACTGGTGCAATCCATGACAACAAATACAAACAACATGAATAGTATAAAGAATAACCCCTATGCAAGTAATTAGGGGAAAAGAAAAAAGAAAGAAAAAGGAAAACTAGGCATACGTTTCCGTGTGTGTGTGGCGTGATTGTGATTGGGTTTAAGAGTCTGACAGTCCATGGATAGAAACTATTTTTAAACCTATTTGTTCGGCTGGCTATGCTTCAATGTCTTCTACCCAATGGTACAAATGCGAAGAGACACTGACCAGGGTGTGAATCACCTCTATTTTCCTTACTCTGTTAAAGCAGCAAAACCTGGTGATGTCATCCAGTCGTGTTAGAGGGCAACCAATGGACTGTGACAAACAATCCAATAATTTGACCTTTGCTTAGACTGAAATGGGCAATTATGGTTCCTTTACATCCCATGGACTTCAACTCCCAGAATTCCTGACCAAGTCATGAATCCTGGGAGTTGAAGTCCACAGGTCGTAAAGGGGCCATACTTACCCACCCCTGGCTTAGACAAGTCCATTAGCCTAAAGATCAAGATTAGGACATGCTGAATCTTTGCTCCAGGTTGCTGCTTTTATTCCTATATTTCCTCCTGTTGGAAGCCAAGGAAAACAACAGTTTCTACTTTAGAAATGAGGCCTTAGCTCTGTATGCAGTCGGACTTAGGCCTGTCAATCCTGAATATCTCTTTCTAGGCAGCAAATCTTATTTAAATAAGAATCCAACCCTTTGTTTTCAATCAAGCTGCAAAGGCTGACAGAAAGAAGGGTGATGGCTTTGGGCATCAGCTGTGGGGCAACCTCCACAAGGTCTATTGCCTGAGCAGGCAGAAGAGTGCTCCAGCTGAAAGATTCTCTGGCTTCCTAGTCCCAGCACAATTTCTGACACAACACTTGATCACATGCTTGTCTCTGGGAGGCCAAGAATCAGGAAAATTGCCTTTTCATGGGTCTGGATAAAGAAATATCTACAAATAGGCTCCAAGTGGAAGGTATGCATGTATATATAAAAAAGAGAATGAAAATCAGTCAAAAGGAAACACTGCCCTTGAGAAAATATTGCTTCAAGAGTGGGAAACCTCTTTTGTCCTGGGAGTTACTCCAGACTATTTGGAGGCTAGGACAATGATGTATCTAACTGGATGGGCCTGAGTCTGGATGGGAGGCATTTTGGGAGCGTTTAGAAGTTGGAAATGGATGCATTTAACCTCTGGGGGACTGATCGGTCTATCTCTTACTTTCTTTTGGCAAAACCTACCTCAAAAGAGTATCGCTGACATCTCACCAATTTTGCCAGATGCTGCAGGACAGAAGGAGGATCTTCTGAGGCTGCAACATGGAGGCCACACACAGCCTACAAAATGCCCTGATTTATTCACACCTTCCTTTTCCAGCATTTAAGGGTTATACTAACCAGAAGTGGATCAAGAGATCTTCACATTTTACAAAAGAAGTCACCACAGGAGAAAGCAAATTATTTCCATCTATCCGTCTCCTTAAAATGCCTGGCATAGTATCTGAGAAAATCAAAACACAATGGTGTCATTGTTCCTTCTTCTTTCAGGGTGCCACAAAAAGATTCCAAACAACCTGTTTTTTGTTCTGTAGAGGAGCCAAGCCAGCTGGCTCTAATTTAGTCATTGCTTTTGTTGGGTGACCATCCTAAGCATCTTCAGCGCCATGTCACCCTGGTCAGCTGGGACCTGAGAACAAAAAAGCACCAGCGGTTAGCCAACTGCAGTAGATTTTGCAGAAAGAACAGGAGCAGCCATAAAAGGGTGCAGGGACCACAAAGTAGAGAAAATTCCTCCTTAAGTTTTGTAATGTTATTCATCTACTGTTCATTGGTCAACAAGGCCAAAGAAAAATAAAATAAAATAAAATAAGGAAATAAAAGCCTTGCTCATTGTGGTAAAACTACAATATATTTTTAGATTTCATTATCTCAAATACAGATGATTAACCATAGTCCTTTAGGACAGGAGTCCCCAACCCCCAGGCCTACTGGGCCTTGAGCTTTTTGGAACTGGGGCGCAGAAGTGATGGGTGAGTTCCCGTGAGCATCCCCACTCAAATGAGCAGCGTGTGAACGCATGCACAGAACCATCCCTCCTCTCCTTCCCCTGCCAGTCCACAAAGCTGAAAAGGTTGGGGAACTCTGGGTGAGGGAACTTCTGGACGAGGGAATGGCAAACTAGATTGTCTCTGATGGAACAGAGACGAGAATGTGGCCAAGACCGACAAGGTGGCAGTAAGCTTAGTCAACAGAGCCTCTCCAGATAAGAAGAGGATGAGAGATTACCCACTTGTGCTCCAGACAGCCTCATGAAGAAACTGCTGGGCAGGGGTTGACTGACAGGTCAGAACCCTGGGAGATAAGGAAAGCCATCAAGTAATTAATCACAGTGGAGTCTTTAAGCACATAGGGTTCATCCAACCTCACTTACTAGACTTTTGGATTTATAGTGACTTTAAGTCACTATAGTCTGGTGAACAAAACTTTGTCCCAAAGGAGAGGTAAAACTAGCTGTTGGCTCAAACAATTCAAAGAAGATGAAATAAATGTAATTGAGGAAACATATAAATGAATTAAGGGAACAGGCAAATTTGGAATATTAGGCCTTTTGCTAAGATTTTTGAAATAAATAAATAAATAATTTTCTTTGCAGAAACATATGTTTAATCTATCAGGAACCAACCAAGATGATTGGTTGAAATTTGAAAATAAAGAATTCTGTGATTATAGAAATGGGGCCCTAAAGAAGACTAATGTTCAAGGAAGGAATATTAAAACAAGAAAGCTGGAACCTATCTTCGATTCTTGAACTGAAAGAAGAGGGGTGAATTTTATAAAATGACAAAGTTATGATGCTTGAGAAATTTCAAATGATTTTTTTGAAGAATTGAGAGAGAACATAAAACTAAATTGACAGAAATAATTTCTGCATCTGCAAATGTATTTTTGAAGAAGGCTCTAAGGAAGAAAGACATGGAAGAGACTAACATGAAGGAAATTATAAATTGTCAGGAAGAAGAGGCAAAACAAATTCCAGATGTATAAACATTACAAAGTAAAGAAATTGTTAATTATAAGACAGAAATGACAAAGTGAAAACACAAATGATAAGCCAGGAGATGAAAAGTGACCTGGAAGAATTTTGAGATGGGGAAAAAGAAAATTTAATTAGAGATTAAGCCCTATGATAGCAATGATGAATTGAAGATCAAGATTGTTGGAAACAAAAGAATGGAACATTAAACTTCTTTGATTGTGGTTAAAATAAGAAATATTTCTATAAAATTCTGGAAAACCTTTATGAACTTTATGCCAAAACTTGGTTAGAAATGACAATGATCTTTAGAATTAAGATAGGATTATGGGAAAAACAGTTTCACTTTTTAGCATTGTTAAATTATTAATAAAAAATATTTGAAAAAAGAATCTCGATATGTTATTATGATCAAATGAAAAAGCCTTTCTTATGGCAGCCTCTCTCCTCTTTTTTGCAATTTTTTATTTTATTGGCAGTCTCTCTCTTTCATGGCAGGGATGCAAGTATCATCATACTTGCTCTATTCTTTTGTCTTTCTACTATGCAAAGCTGTGTCTGTATAATGTTTTTCCTTCTTACAACATACAAAACAGAAGCTGTCCTGTTCTTGCTCTGAAGGCATGGAAAGGACTTACCATATGGCCAGCCTTGAGGATCCAGAAGAAGCTCAGGTTACAATAGGATTTATAAAAAGCAGCCGTCTCTGTGCATTTTGGGCAGGTGTACAAAGGCTGCCACTTCAGTGCATTAAATTCTTTCAGCTTGGGCCATTTTAGCTTCCGGAGCCAAGCTTCTTGCCCTAAAAATAGAAGAGTAATCAGTAACTCTTATCATAAAAAATCCTGTAACAAACTGCTGCAGTTTGAACAGATGATCCGCCACCTAGCGTGGTGGAGAGCCATGATGGCACAGTGGTTAGAAGGTAGTATCGCAGATTGACTCTGCTCATTGTCAGAAGTTCGATCCTGACCGGCTCGAGGTTGACTTAGCCTTCTGTCCTTCCGAGGTTGGCAAAAGAGGACCCAGATTTTGGAGGGCAATAATGCTGACATTGTAAACTACTCAGAGAATACTATAAAGCACTATGGGGCAGTAAATAAGTCTAAGTGCTTATTGCTATTGCTAGCCAACAAAATAAATAAAGCAACAAAAAGTCCTGGAAAGAGCAGCATGCAGATTGTTAAAACAAATAAATAAAAGAGAAAAACTCTTTCAATGTAAGATGAATCACCTTAGAGAGTTATTAAAAATCTTGGTTGCAATTGTCCATAATGGCCCACTGTGGAATTAATAAAGCACTTAAAACATGCAGCAATCTTAGCTGTGTGTGTGTGTGTGTGTGTGTGTGTGTGTGTGTGTGTAACATATATAGCTAGGCACCTGCTGTCATGTTGGCTATCTCAATCATTGCCACCATTATTCAGGAACTCATCTTTGAAATCATCATGGTTTAACTGGCTGATGTTAATTTACCACTGATTACAATTTGCTTTCCAGGCCTTGAGATAGCAATCTTATCCCAATGTCTGGGAATCAATATTGTCACTGACTAGAAAAGAACAGTATAAATGTGGGAAATTGTGTGAAATCATTGGTACCCAGCCTAGGATTTCTTGGGAGTAGGCAATGAATACATTTTATACATAAATAAATATGTTTATTTATATTCACTGAAGGATTTACTTTAGTCAAGAAGATTATCTAACTGTAATCTAAATATAAGCATACCATCCCTTTGCCCAGTGCTAGGAAATTGAATTACTCCATAACTTAGTCTATGTTTACCCGGCATTGATGGAAATGCCTTTGATCAAACAGACCTGAAAGCTCCAGTCATTTTTGCTCAAAAGGACCAACACAGCCATCCACCAAAAGAATTAAGACTAAACTCAGCGGAGTGGGCAGATAACACAGGCTGCATTCATACCTATTATTCAGCCTAGATTTGTTCACCTGGATTTGTTGACCATACTTCAGTGGTCTGGTTTATGTATCTCATTAAAGAAAATATCAGAACACCGCTTGCCTAGATTAATGTTAATCATTTTACCTAGGTTAATAAACTGCAATTGAAAAGAAGAAGAATCTATTAGAGTTTAACCTATGCCTGCAAAGACTGATGAAATCTCAAAATGGAGCAAAGTAGAAATGGAGAGGGCTTAGGAAATAAATCCAGCATTTCAAATTCTGTTAAGGGTGATCTCATCATTAAAAGCAAAAAGCAATCCAAACAGCTATTCACGTGAAGGAATCCCATTTTAAGATGGAAGGGACAATATAAATTCTACAAACAAGCTTGTACTAGCTACTTCTTACTTATTTACAAGACAATGTCTTGATCCAATTTCCTATCAAAACATCCCTCCTATATAAAAGGTTAACGTATCTCCAATACTCTCTTCAATGTATTTCTCTCTTCAATACTCTCTTCTAACCCAGCTCACTCCTATCTACTATTTCTAGATTCTGTAGCCCCCATTTCCTTCTACAGCTATGCCATTGACCATCCTTCCACCATCCACTCACTCAATTGTAACTTTTTTGCTTCTGATTTCTTCACTTCCCTATCTTGCTTGATGTTTTTGCTTTTGCATTTTTGATATTTTGCTTCCAGTTTTACTTCCAGTTTTTGACAAAAACACACCCATTGTGAACCATTGGTTTACTGAGGTGCAGATCCAATTAATGAAGGCCGAAAAAAACTGTAAAATCAGGTCAGTCACATAACTTTTTTAGAACTGTCACAAGTTACAATCATGATGGACAGGCTCCATGATGGTCATAAGTCAAGGAGTACCTGTATACAGTTGCACCTAACATTAATGATCTGCTTTGCTATCTTCACCAAGCTCCCTCCCATGGGAAAAACACCCTTACCTATTGTAGGAACGATGAGATCCAGCTGCCCGTTGTATACAGTGACATTCACATTGGCCTCCAGCAAGCTGTCCACAATATCAATTGCATTTTTCATAAAGTCTTCAGCCATATTCATAAATACACCCGTTGATTGCCCTGCCAAGTGATAACAAAAGAGTAAGAAGAGGTAGGTAACCTAATGCTGTCTGAAGGTCATACACAGTGTTATTGATACAGAAAAGGTAGGGGTGTGTGTGTGTGTGTGTGTGTGTGTGTGTGAAGAGAGAGAGACAGACAGACAGACAGAGAAAGACAGATAGACAGATGCACTCAAAAAAGGCACATCTGCCTCATGACCAGGGTCTGGTATTTCCATTTCTTTCTGCAGTTAATTTTTTTTCTTTTCATTTTAACCTGCAAAAATTAATTTTTCAAGTTTTCAGTTTTTAAGTTGGAGGAAACTATGATCCACTACTGAATGTTGACGCCAGCATTAAAAAGTGAAAAACAAAGGACCTTGGGGTTTATAACCTGAATCTCAGAACCACCTAAAAATGCTCACTAACAATTTCATAGTTGTAAATAGAATTTGAAATAGTATAGTAATTAACTTCAGCCTGATTTAGAATTGAATTGGCTTTTAATTTGGGGAATTTGTTTCCCCCATCTCTGATTGTAATTGGAAATCTAGCAAATGAGACAAGTTAACACAATTTAAATATATATATATAAGAGGAGCATGGACAGTATATCTATACATGGAATTTCTATTAATTTTGTGTGAGTTTAATATAATTGCTGTAGTGTTCTCTGGCTGTCATTTGATGAAAACATTCTTAACCTAGAAATGAAAAAGATTGTCACATGTACAGAGAACTAGAACTACTATCTAGACAGCCTTCCGAATTTGGCACTGACCAGATATGTAGATTTCAACTCCAAGCATTTTCAGCAATGTCATTTGGGAAATTCTGGGAGTTGAATCTGGCTGGGAGTGTTACAGGAGATTGGAGTAATGACTTAGACTGGAACACTATTCAATATCGTCCCTTGGAACTGGAGTCTACAAGTGTGGCAAACTTATAACTTGTGGACTTCAACTTGCTGGCTGAGGAATTCTGGGAGTTGAAGTCCACAAGCTATAAAGTTGCCCAGGCTGGAGACCTGTGCCTCAGAATGTTTGGATTTTCTATACTGCATATTTGTAATAATAACTCCCTCTTTTTGAGGGGAAGCTGCATTTCCCATATTAAGAGACAGGTGATGACTGGTATGTTAGTATTTCTAGAGAAAAGCTGATATCCTTATTTCCTAAAAACTTTGCTCCACCTTATGAAATAAATGATATTATTCAGATTTATAGCCTTGCATTGATTTCCTCCAGATGTTCAAGGCAAAATAGTTAGCAGTCCTTCCTCCAATTTTTCTCTGCAGCATTAATTCTGCAACATAAGTCCAGCTGACATAAAACATCCTTCCAGAGCTGAGGCAGGGGTGAAATGCTACCGATTTGGACTGGTTTGCCCAAATTGGTAGTAAAGATGCCAAAGGTCTGTCTGAACTGGATAGTTTTAAAAAAATGCTACCGGTTCAGACAAACCGTTTTTTTCTGACGATCAGTTGTTTCTTGCCTTCTAATTAATCTAAATCGCATGGATTTCCCCCCTCGCTGTTTGCTTATCTTTGCAGGCTCCGCCCACCCATCCAGACATCATTTTCACGCTCTGCGCATACGCGGAAGGTCCTGCACATGCACAGAGGCAGCGTGTGTGAGCGAAGCAAGTGTGCGCACATGCTCACATTGCTACCGAACCAGTAGCAAAGGCAAATGGATTTCACCCCTGGGCTGAGGCCTAACTCAAGAGATCCAGGTTCAACTTCTATTATTGCTGCTGATGTTGCTTTTGTACATATATAAGTAACTGTGCCACAGTTCTCTTTGATGTCATTTTTATGGGTGGTACAATAAATAAATATCCCCAGTTCTCCTTAAGCATATCAGTTCAGTTACTGCACATTGATAAAACACCTTTTGTCATTGAAGTTCAATCATAACTAATATAATATAAAAATATAGTTTCCTAAGAGAAGAGCTTCTTCACTGAGTTCTTAATTCTCCAGTTAATATGATATACAACAAATGATATGAGTATTATATGGTGCCAGTAGATATTAAATACCTCCCCATTTGACATGGTCTGGAATTATTTTCAGCTTCTTCCGGATGGGCCCATTCATCAGATCACTCAGCTTGTCGTTAATTTGATTTTTCACATGACGCTGGAACAATCTTACTGAAGAAAGAAAAAGAAGACTGCATTTGAGGTTTACCTGGAAAGGGGACCCTGGTATTTCTTTTATTTAAAAAAATCTCTCTCTCTCTCTCTCTCTCGCTCTCTCACTCACTCTCTCACACACACACAAACACCCACACACCAACCAAATCATAAATATACAAAATAAAACAAAACAAACAAAATCTCCTCCTGCCTCACCCTTAAAACCAAATATGGCACATCAATGTGTAATTAAATTAAAATTAAAATACCAAATCTTTTTGTATGCATTTTGGCCCTAAATTGCAAAAGCTCATCAAACAAAAAATAAAACTGATGACAAGACTTTAATGCCATGTTCTCTAATAAGAGAATATATTTACCCTATTTTTAATGCATTAATTTTGTAATGCTCAGCTCAAGTATTTTGTGTAGTTTGGAAGTTGGCAGTCTGTAGTGCTTGGGACTTATAAGGAGATCCAATATAACAATAACAGAAGAATTGCTTGTTTAGATAATCAGAACCACAGTTTTTTTCATGCAAGACTCCATTGCTGAGTTCCTGAAACTTTCTTTACTTCAGCAACTTAATTTAGAGCACTGGAGCAAGGAAAGGGAATTTAAAGGTTGTTACTTCCTATTTTGCTCTGATCTCCATTGCACAGTTGCAATAGGCATATCACATAAGCACCAGATCCTGAGACATCTATATCTATATCATCTATATCTATATTTATATCTATATCAAGAGGGCTAGTGGTTGGTGAGTTCAAACATTACAAACTGGAGTTCCAAAGATTTTTTGTGAAAAAAGGGACTACACACCATGGCTCTCCAAACTTGGCAACTTAAAGACTTGTAGACTTCAACTCCCAGAATTCCCCAGCCAGCATGGGAGTTGAAGTCCACAAGTCTTAAAATTGCCAAGTTTGGAGACCCTGGGCTACATTTTTGATCTTCTAAAACTACTATGTCTTGCTAAAAATAGATTTCTGGCATTGCAGAGTTCTCACTCAACTTACAAAATGGGGTGGTTTCAGTTGCAGCAGATGAAAGAGCTGTGTCCTTCGTAGAGTCAGGGGTTAGAATATTATAGAAATTCACACCATTTGTGTTCTAGACAAAAAAAGAAATGGCATTAAGAATAGAGATCCTGCAACAAAGGACATGGTTTGCTCTAAGGTTTGGGGTTGAAAAGGTCTCATGAGAATACCCCAGAATAGATTGCCAAGAAAACAAACCAATGGATCATACAAGAAATCCATCCAAAGTTCTCAGTCAAGACTCTAGTAACTAGGCTTTACGTTAGTCAGGGGTTCCCAACTGGGGGTGCGAGATGATATTCCAGGGGGTGTGAAAACCTGGTTTAGAAGTTCCAAAATTATAGTGTATATATGTAATTGATTTAGTGATTTATTGACATTTGTAGGCCGCCCTTTTCCCTGAGGGGACTCAGGGCGGCTCACATAAATCAGGGAAGG